GAGTTGGGCGGAGATGGCTTAGGCTTACGGATGGAATCACCGATTAGTTGTGTGGTTTAAGAAACGTTGCAAATGAATGATATGATTCATAATTTTCAATAATTTAATCACTACCCTACTAAAAATGCAAAATGTTGAGCAAATAATTCAGACCAATTCGACGTTCGTTACCTATCCATATTTTCTGGTTTTGGCTAGTGCAATGCTCGACTGCTGGACGAAACTTGATGTTCTCTTCGTGGCTGTCGACGATGTCAAAATACTGAACGGAACGATGCATCGGATCTACAGTAATCCATGCGGCGATAATAAACGTATCCATGCACAGGAACAGCCCAATGATGGTGTAAAACATCCAAGACTTGATTTCCTCCAAAATGATTATGAATATCTCATGCAGAGAAAAAGCCAAAATCGCCTTTTCTCCTACCATGTGTTTCGTTGCCATAAACTTAAGCCGGTGAGCCATCAACGCCTTGCTGAACAAAGAGCCAAAGAGCAACGAAAATCCGTACATCAGCATCAACGCCCTTGCCTAAAAATGTGGCAAAAGGTTAATGCAGCTTTTCACTTAGCGCTAGCATCTGATAAATACGCAGGAATTAAAGCAACCGTATTTTAGTAAAGCTGTAATAAGGAACAGCATTTGCAGGCAAAGAGAATATGGTAGTACAAGACCACCCATTGGGAACGAGTTCAGAGGAAAGATTAAGACGTCGGAGGATGAACGAAATCCTACAGTGGACCTGGCATCACTGACACTAAGGAGTCACAAAATTCTAGAAAATCTGGAGCAAGACAGAACGTCATGCTCTTTACACTATGAAGAAGTAAAGGTACCGATGTCATTTCCTAGACAAGGGTAGCCCAGCTGACAACCGTGGACTCGCAGTCGAAAGAATACATGCCTGAATCTTGACCGGGTTAATCATGTTACATGCCTTCATATTTCTCAGGTAGAAAAATTGCTGCCATTACATGGAAAAATACCTGCTAGACAGGAAATCAGCAGAAGATCAACGTTGGCCAACTTCGATCATATTGAAACATCAATACCTCACAGAGAGCTTCCCTTGCGGGCAAAGAACGAATTGCTCAATCAACTCAATCGTCCTCTCCGCCCTGATCTATGAGCTGAATGTTGATCTGTTACAATAGCGTAAGAGCAAAGAACAATAAAGTAAATAACGTATATGGTCTCCTTCTGGGATCACGTTTAAAGTGCACAAAGTCAAACATGCACTGGATTGACAGAGATGATTTGCCTCTTCTTTCTTACCAGGCGAAAATGCGCCAGCCATATGGCTTGACACAGAAACAACCAGTTGACGTGATTTCGCTGTACCACCAATTTCGAGTCGGTTGTCCAAGAATTCGCAGTAACGATCTGATGGTCAAAGTGCTTGGCCAGCTGTGAAGGCAGAAGGCGAAAAACAGAGACTACCGAAGAGACGTTGATCGACGTTCATGGTACACAAATTTAGAAAACTAGTCGGATAACGGATCACTTGAGAAGAAAACAAAGGAAAAAGTTTTGCACTGTAGTAGCCATGGGAAGGATTGTAAATATTGTCTCAAAATGATGCAGTCCGCGCCGCGCCGTGAACTCCATGGAGAGAGACTGCTACAGACGTCAACTCCCAAATAGAAATGCAAGGGGAATAAGCATCCCAATGGCTAGAAAATTTTCTTACGTTCCATGTAACAAGATTTATCATAGTATGTATTTAGGTTGTGATCGACCAGATTTCCAGTGGTCGATCATTTCAACAGTTCCGGTTGGATTCAAGTCAGTGTATTGCTAATCCTGATGTGCACTCCATACTTTGGTCGTTGCCGATTGCATAACTCAGTGCGACGCCAGATTTGTTCGCATATAATATTTTAAGAGTCTCCGGCCGTAAGTAACTTGTTATCCCATGCCAATATTTAAATTTTAAATTATAAACACTGTCTGTGAAAATACAGCGAGGTACGTACATGACAAAAATATTTTTCGACAGCCACGAGGGCTCGCTCTGTCGGTAAACCGATCAAAACGATGCCTACGATGCATACTATGCATCCAACGAGCATGATATCATTGACTTCTGCACAGGATTCGGCAACTATCCTACAGAAAAAATAATTAAGTACGTTTTAGACAAGACAATGAATAAAAAATCCCATTCTTACCGTCGGTACCTGAAGACAACGTTGAACGAACCGTTGATTATCGCCCATATTATCCCCAAGGCCCCAGCGGCGCCGAAAATCATAAACTGAATGTGGCCAACGGCAATCCACTTTTCTTGAATGACCACTTCATCCGGCGGTATGTAATCATCTGAAAGCCGGATCCGAAATGATTTGCATCACCGAGATCCGTATATTTAGATTTAGCCTCACTGATGAACTTTTCCTTGTTTCTCCAAGAAAGGTTATCAGATCGATAATCGTAATAACCCATTACCTCGTACTTTCCGTCTAAGAATTGTGAAACAGTCTTAGAAAAGGCGCATTCAACGATGCACTGACCTTGAAGCTGCTCGATCAAAGTCCACGCAATCCGTTCACCTTTCTCAGAGAACATGACTTCTCCCTGAAGATGGTACATGGTTGCAGAAGAGTATATTTTACTAGCGTACATTACCGAAACGCCCCGGAACTTGGTTCGCCTCATGCAGTTATAAATCTCTTGAGCCATTGTCGCGTCCTCGTACGAGAAATCGTCCAGAGTCAGATTGCGAGCCTTCCATTTTTCCATGCTGCAGTTCAGGGCGAAGACAGCCGACCTGAGAAAGTGACTCGAATATGAGTCATTCAGATTCGACTCAACTACGACTGGAAGATGTCCTTAATTCAACATAGAATCGCCTCGCTCACCAGATCGCGTCGTAAGCCAACGGCGCCTCCGGGAAACCGCCTGTGATGTTCGGTGCCTTGTCCAGTCGTGCACTGAGCCGGCTAGCGAACTGCACCGAATTCTAGAAAGACCGAAATGACCGGAATAAGAATCATACAAAGTAAACCATGAAGATTACCATTCCTGAAATGCCGCGAGTCTCCTCCTGACTGTGCATGAGCATTTCAGTGGTGAAGTGGTACTGAGTCGCATCGTACATCTGCTCAGCTGTGCAGTTCAGCTCATCCTCAGAGGTTGGAATGAACCAGCTGTCCCCGTACCAACCCAGTATGATCCACACGTAATGTTTTCCGTACAGGTGTTCCTTGTATACCTCGCAGAATACTTTTCTTGCTTCTTTCTCGTAAAACAGACCGACGATTATGCGCACGTCTTGCCTCTGAAACAATAACCACGTCTTTTAAAGATATTTGCGAAAGTTGGCAGAACCTCCATGAGCTACTTGCCTTTATGCTTCGAACAGCAGGTGCAGGATCGCCGTAGAAGCTTTGTACCGATACCACGTGAATATTGTTTTTAGCACACTGTTCTTGAAGATCTTCTGATGACTGTATTCATTTAAAAAGCAAATAACATTTCAAAGTGCGAAAGGTGCTAAAAGATAGCAACTAATGATCCCTGTTATCATAATTATCTTCATAAATATCAAAGCTGTTCGTACCCTCGAGTATGTCACATAACGAATGACTCCTCCAGCACCAGATTGGCGTATGGTATCTCTCTTCTCCAGCAAAAGCGCAGTGCAATACGTTGTGAAATCTGGTGTTGGAGGAAAATCTTGTTATTTGACATAACATATCAATCTTCATCATAATCATAAATTTCATGCTTTTTGCTCTTCGTCCTCCTGATAATCAAAATGATCGTCCTTATCAAAGTCGTCCTCATCATAATCCAATTCTTTTTCTCTGCCTCACCATCAATTCCTATCTTCCGTTCAAAGAACACATTGCTGAGGTGCAATTCTGTCCCAATGTTCGGGTCCACTGCAATTCTCCTAGCGAAAATATGTTCATCTATGTCTGACGCATGTCATCGTCTCTGATCCTCCAAGGAGTCGCCATTTCAGCTCATAACATGTCCGAAATTAAGACCAGTAGTCGATCACATATCTGACGTTATGTCCTACGGTAGTTAATTAAAAATAAATTAAAACCTAAAGATGCCAGGAAGGAGCGGTTATGGCATAACATTGTGGCAGGCAGCCAGGAGTTAGACTTAGAATAAGACGGTTTGGGTACAATATTTACTTGAGACTGCCAAGTCATTAATATAGCTAGCAATTGCTTAATTAACTGAGGGTAGATCGAATCTCACACGAATCTCTTCTCCTTCAACTCGAAAGCAATAGAGGGTATTTGTTACTTATTAAACAGTCTTTGCATATTCTTATGAACAACGAAAGGATGTGTAGCAACTGCATCAGCTCCTCTGATATCTGTTCTGTTAGGAAATTCATAATTTGAATCACCTACTTAAGGTTTAACGTTTTATGCTGGGTTTCTTCAGCTTTAACCTCGCCCTCTCTGTGAATCCATCCTTGCAAAGATCGATTGATTTTGTTGTATATTTGCGCCTTCGTGTTTTACTCCACTGGCTATTTGATAACTTTTCTGCACTTTATTATTCGACTGTTCATTGTCGCAAAATATCCATGACAATGGCTACAATACAAGAAATCGAAACGTCACGTTAAAAGATAGAGGAGAATCCTGCGTCATATCGAAGGCCATTAGTATTAAAAATATGAACGTTGCTAACAGCAGGGCACAAATCTAATGAATCAGTCCAAAAATAAACCACCAAAAAATAAATTAAATAATGCACAACAATCATCTATACATGTGAAACCCGTGACATTAAGTTAACTACATCGTTTCCTCAAACATCCCTCAAAATCTACCAATTATGAAGTGTACGGGAGTTTGTCTTTCTTACTTGCAATGGTAGTAAGAATTACAGAATAAGACAGACGCCCCGTAGACGACACAACGGTTAACCACGGATCAACAAGTTTAACGAGGGAAAGTTTTGAAAAAAATTCCTAAGGATAAAAATCAAGAGACCATAATTTGTGCCAATATCAAGAGAATCCGTCTAACTTTAAGGGAGGGAATATTTCTAAATTTCAAACATTCAACATCTTTTCTACATAATCATAATTGTAGCTGTTATTAAATTAAATATAAACATATAAAT